TATGAACACAATTGCTATAGACACTGTATTCAAGTTTCATGTGAACATAAATTTTCAACTCATCTGGGCAAATCCCAAGGAATGTGATTGTTGCATTATAATGTAAATACACTTTTTATATTTTATAAGAAGTTGCCAAACAATATTCCAAAGTACCTCTATCATTTTGCACTTCCACTAGTAATGAGCAAGGGTTTCCATCAGTGCACATCCTCACCAGCCTTCTTCCTTAACCATATACCTCATGTCAACACCTCTGGTACTTCTACAACGTTGTTCTTACTCTGCTCTACTCAGTGCCATGCCCACACATGGCTACTTGACAAGCAACTAGTAATCTTTTAAGACTCAGCTCAAGGGACTGGGAATATAGCTCAGTGATGAAGCCCTTGCCTAGCATGCAAGAGGCCGTGGATTCAACTTCTAGCATTGCCAAAACCAGAATAAAACAACAAAAAGATCTTGAGCTCAAATATCAATTCTCCTGTGGGTCTTTGATATCTACTCTCTTTTACACCACTACCCATGTTATATATTGTACCCATAACAATTTCATTCCTTACATGCCTTTCTTACTTTGCTCAAGTATAAGCTATTTAAGGGAGGGATGACATCTGATTTACTTCTCTAGCACCTAGTAAAGTGTTTTGTACAGAATGGTATTCATTAAAGGATTGCTCAATGAAATAATTTTTAAAAATTCACTTTCTCAACTGAAACCTGTGATACAGGTAAGGTATTATTCCTGTGTTAGACATGAGGAAATACTGGTTATGTCCCAAGTTTGTTTGGAGAGATATTGGTATCCCATGGAAATCATATTCTCATTCATTCCAAACTCCACCAAAATTTATCTAACTCAAGACATACATGCACATACAGGTATTTCTGCTATCATGTGAGTTTTCATGCCACTAAGAGGAAATATAATTAATCAGGAAACCTGAACTGCATATTGCAGATTGCTGATGCTCCTAAAAAAAAATGGCATCATAGGAAAAAAAGCTGTTGCTGGCAGTATAGCTGTGTTGAAAGCTGTTAAACTACTTATCAAAATAATGGATAAATATGCAAAGTACCGTGAATAAAAATACAAACTACTGTGCTATTAATACTATTGGTAGTAGTGGCAAAAGTGCATTACCCTTAAATAAAAGCTAAATGAAGAGCTGTATTGCTCAGGTTTTGTTACATATTCTTACAGTTTTTATAGTGAATGTGGGCCGGGGATTTAACTTAGTGGTAGAGTGCTTGCTGCCCAGCAAGTGTGAGGCCCTGGGTTTAATCCCACCTTCATGAACAAACAGCCTTATTATGAAATGCCTTATTCATTATAATGAATTCATTATAATGACATGCAGATTCTTAAAACCACACTTATGTTATATCAAATAATAGTGTACTACAGAATTACCAGAATTCTCCCAAGGCCCATGACAATCTTACCCACACAGTAGCAGCTCTATGAACTAAAGTCAGATGTAAAGAACAGTGAAATGAATATTACAGAAAGATAGACATGGGTGACCATGAATGCTGTAGGAACTTTCATTGTAAGTTTGGGCCAGTCAGTGGAGTAATTCCCAATACAGAAAAAGAACCAAGGATGGGAATCACGACTACAAACTACTTTATACTTTTCAGCAGTAGAAATGAGTATAGCAGAGGACAAAATCTAGAGGAGCAAATTGGAAACCAAAGACGTGGATGGTACTAAAAGCTGTGTCCACAGAAGACTTCTTAAAGCGGTATATGTGGTCTTGCTTGGCTGAGCATCTTATGGGACTTTATGCTGTTGGGAAAGGAGGGAGGCAATGAAAGCTCAAAGATGGAAAATGAAATGATGTAAGAACAACAGTGAGACATACATAAAAGTGATGCAAACGCTAAAAAGAGGAAAGGAGGCAAAGAGAAAACGTGCCTACAGAATTTTTACAAAGAATTTTTAAACACCTTAATACCTAAGCTCTTAAAGAGTATTAACATCAAAACACATTTCCAGACTAATTCCCAAATATTTGTCATCTTTTCTAGAAAGTTCAAAAACACAACCAACAGTGAAAGGGAAGTGAAAGCTACTGGAAGGTAACACTAGTGCTGGATAAGCAATTTCGGTAACTTGGAATCTGCTTCTCTCTCTTCTAAAGAAGCTTAGCCACCTAAAAGAAGTTAGCTTTCAAACTTTTCCCCAACACAAAGCTATCCATAACGCGACGCAGCCAGACAAATGTTGACACACTTCTGCATTTACTGACATGCGAGGACGTCCCTGAGGTTTTCAAGGCAAGCTACAGAATGACATCATCCACGTGGTGCCTCCGTAACTCAGCTCCAGCGTGGAGTCACTTGCGGTGGACCAGAACCAGTTCGGCGTTGGCACCTACGCAACCCTCCGACGTACACGCACACCTGACGCCACGGAGTCACCTGCGCAGCCCTCGCTCCCGAGCTCGGCGCGGGATGACCAGACGCATGAGCCTCCACCTGGACGGCAGCGGTCGCGCTATCCGTGGGACCGCGACTCGGAGAACCGCACCGCCGGGGACAAGGCAGGGAAGCCTTCGCGCCCGCGGAAGGAAGGACACTGGAGGGTGCGTCCAGGACGAAGGCGGCCCGGGTCGGCACCGGGTGCGGCGGAGAGGGGAGCAGCCCGAGAGTAGCCGGCGCCCCTGTCCCGCACCGCGAAGGCTGGCGGCGCGGCATGACCTGGCCCGGCGAATCGCCCGCGGCTCGGCTCGGGCGCCCTCCCGACCCGGCCCGCTCACCCGCTCACCCTCACCGGCTTTCTAGTCAGCTCGTCGCCCGCCCCCAAGCCGACAAGGACGCGCGTGCCTGCCAGCGACGCAGCCGCAGGCTCTGAGCCACAACGCTCGGCCGCCCCCGCCCTTTGTGACACCGCCCACCAATCGCTCGCCGGCGCTCCCGTAGCCCTCCAATCAGCGGGGACGAGGCGGAGCCTGGCCATCCGCTGCCAGCGGTTGCTGGGACGCCAAGGCCGCCGGGCGTTTGGAGATGGTTGTCGGTTAGGAGAGGCCCGGATGTTGACCCTTCATTACTAACAGCGGACACCTGACTCGGACAAGGCAAGCAGCTGCAAGTCTGCCAGTGACTGCCTGGAACACCGGCCTAGGGGCCGGATGGAGTACCTTCCCTGGAACCCACCTACAGCCTCTTGGGATTAGAGGGTCCTGAGCCGATGCTGTCCAGTCCGGTGGCGTTTCCTGAGCCTGGGACACTTACACTGTGTTCTGGACGGTTACCTTGAACACATTCCCTTTCTTGCACCTAGCTGTCCCCTAGCATTCTACTCATTACCACGCCTGGCTTAAGATTGGCGAAAGCAAATGTTTCTGCAGGCATCATCATCCATTTATTGCGTACCCAATTAAGACTGTAGACCAGGCAGTAGTGGGCTCAAAGCCCAGCCGATTTCGAAGCTGCTGACCTGGGGTGTAATCGGAAATGGCTTCCAGCCCCACATGGGCCCAAATGCATTGCTTCTCTCGCAAGATGCTTCCTGACATCTTCCAGCCCCGTGCACCTATTTCAGTAGGTGGATTACTCAATGCACAATGAAACCACCTCACTCCCACAGCAGGTTCAGTCATCCTCAACTTGACTCAAGATCAGTCTAAAATGAACCCAACACCTAATCAGTCTCCCACCCTCTCAGTCGCTTCAGTTAAACACACCATGGGGGATAACCTTGGGCCTTCATTTATCAGCCTCTGTTATCACTGGTTCCTTCTTAAACTCTACACATGCTCTTGAGAACAGAGACATGATGGTAATCATCTTTGGGCTTTATTTTTTGGGTGTTTTGTTTTTTGAGACAGGGTCTTACTAGGTAGCTTAGGCTGGCCTGGAACTGGTAATCCTCCTGCCTCTCAAAGAGCTGGGACTACAGGTATGTACCACTACACCCAGCCAGATAATTTTTGAATAGACTAGAATAATGCCTGTGATGGAATATTAGCTAGGTTAAAAAAAAACTTGTTTCTCAACCCTGCTTCCCAGTTCTAATAGCTGACAGCATGTTTGGAATCAGATCAGTTTTAAGATTTTGACTTCCAATAAAGTCATTCATATCATCACCCACCATTTTTCAAGTGCCAGATAGTTGCAAGGGTCTACATATCCTTCCCCTCACATACCTGCAAGGTTGCTATTGAAACCTCTTATTGACAAAGGAAGAAACAAAAGCTAAGGAAAATAAAACAATGTGCCTACAAGTAAAACAACTTTAAGAGGGCCAGATCTGAAGCTCAACCAAAATACAAAAATCCAACTTTTCACTATTACCAGATTTTAGCCCCACCTGTAAAACTGGGACATCACCTATCCTGTAAACTTAGGAAACTGAATAAAACAGCATAAAAGTACCTACCATTTCTTTCATAAGTTCTTTCACTCTCTCAAAATAACAATATGTACCCCTTTGTCTCCTGAATGCCCTAGAATCAATTCTAATGACTGATTTAGAATTCTAATAACTGACTCATCTCTAATGAGATTTGGTGGCTCCATAAGAAAAGTGACAATTGCCAACAAAGGCTTATGAAGTCAGACCCCACATTAGGGCTCCAGCTCAGAGCAGGAAGCTAAATACACAAGTAGCCCAGGGAAGTTGTCCACCCACATAGCCAGCAGCTATTGCACTGAACAATGCAGGCACAGGACCATGTTCATGAGTGCGGAGTTCTCCAGGACAGCACTGCTTTGGAGGCCAATGCTTCCATCCCAAGCACTTCAGCCTGCTAACACCTGAGCTCACTCTGCTACCTCTATAAGAAAAGGCAAAACTCCAAGGATGCAAATGGATGCCTTGGAGTAAGGGACAGAAAACTATTTCTGTAAAGGGACAGACAGAAAACATCTCAGGTTCTACAGGTCACACAGTCTCTGTCACAACTCAACATTGACAATGTAGGTAGGGTGAAAGCAGACATAGGTAATATGTAAATGAATGGGTATGGCTGTGTACCAATAAAACTTTATTTACAAAATCAGAGTATCAAGGGCCATAGTTTGCAAAATCTTTTCTTAGAGAACTTGCAGAAGCATCTTTGGAGTTCAGAGGAAACCTCTCACAGGCTTAGACTTAAAAGTATAATCTCTCATCTCCTTTCCCTTTTCACTGCCGACGTCCTGTCTAAGCAAGAAGTTCCAACCCACGTAACAAAGACACCAGGTCATCTGTCTGGAAGTTGATATATCTCTGAATTCCCTGCCCACCCATGAAAGCTGCAAACAGATTTTTTCTTTAACATGCCCTAATCTTCTTATGGGCCTACCAAGACTAAGTAAATAAAAACAAACCACTGTGAACCATTTATTTTTGTTTTCAATTATTAAGCATGATTAAAATCAGTGCAGAAAAATACTAATTGCATCAGGTATAAGATGAGCTAGCTAATCCAGTATTTGCTTTCTGTAATCCAGTTAAGACAATGAGCGTATAAGACAGCATCATTAACTCAAGGACGTAGCTGACAGGTGAGACACAGATGCCCTGTATGCTCTACTGGCCTCCAAAGGCATTCAGGGGATCATCAAATATGTTGGACACCTTGTGTTCAGATCTTGCTTCAGGTGCTGCCTGTGCAGATCGGCTTTTTGGTTTGGTTGTCTTAGCCTGGAGACCAGAGAAGATATCATCTTTGAAAAGGAAAAAAAAAAAAAGAAAAAAAAAGTTGCTGATCAGGAAATAAATGCTTTTAAGACACAGTCACATGAACCACTAAAGACTGATCAATAGCATTGGGAACCAAAAAACAATAATATAGAAGTCAGGCTTCTTAGATTGTCTTGGCTCAGTTTACTGTAAGTTTTACAATCATTACAAGTTACACATTCTCTTTGAGCACAAATTTCTCAGATAGAAAATCATGTGCAGGATAGAGGAAGGTGACAAGATGTCTAACTCAGCCCAAGACCTTACTATCTGGGACACTGGACTTATCTCTATATTCTTTTTACACATTTTAAAAAAGAAAGGCGGTATGAATATGCAAAGGGAGATCCAATATAGGCTTCATCCTCTTTCCAAAAAATGAATTTGAAGCTTCTCAATAGTTAAAAAATGAAGTCTGTGTGACTACATCCATGTCAGATATCACAGCCTCTAAAACTTGACTTATACAGTTATGCTACTTATCTGGTAATGGTATTGCTAGGATTCCACCAAACCACAAGTTCAGAACATGTACATAAAGACAGATGTACACAAATGATAAAAAACCACATTATTTGTAACAGAAAAAACTCAGAAACAATCTAGATTGTCATTAATAAACTAATGGCAAAATGCAAAGCACTATTACTCAAACACTAAAATCAAGAAAGGTAATTTCTATGTATTGACACACAAAGACATTAGAAATGTGACTAAAAGGAAAAATCCAACAGGTATATGATATATCCGTATTTTTGAAAATTTTATATTTGTATGTTTACAAATGTATGTTAACGTCACTGTATCTGAAAGGGTACACACTAAAGTATTAAAGCCTCTAAGGCTTTTCTTTTTACATTTTCTAAGTTGTATGATTCTATTATCATAAGCAAATTACATTTTCCATTAAAAAAAAAATGAAGTCATGTACACCTTTATTCCTAGAACTTGGGGAGGCTAAGGCAGAATGGAAAGTTCAAGGCTAGCCTGGGCTTTGGCTGGATACTCTCTCTAAAACCAAAACAAAGTGAAACAAAAACGAAGTCTCTTCTGCACTCCTTGTAATGGGACACAGGAGAAGATAGCATGGAATTTGCTGGGGGCAGACCCAGTGTGCTCTACTGCACCAGCTGTCTCCCAGTTAGCCCCAAGGTAAAGCTGATAGGGAAAGGGGACAGAGTAGGAAGCATGTATTTGGCCTCAACCTAAGGCTATCAACACCGTATCTAGCCCAACATTTATGACTATCAGGGCATCTGGCTTGCCCCCTTAACACAAGTAGAAGTAGCAGTTCACAAACACAGAACTCAGGGAGAGGCTAACTCTGACTTAGGCTCCCCTGTATTGACATGGTCCTGCTCTCCTACACTGCTCCTCCAGTCTCTGAACTGCTGTCCCTCACTCATTAGCTTCAACTCTGACTCAACCAATGGCATGGCACTTGAGATGGCCACCTCAGCCTGCGTCAGCTTGTAGGGCTGTTTCTGATGGTTCCTCTTTTTATAACATCACAGTTATAAAAACTTGTCATGGCTGTTAGAGCACACTAAGATAAAAGCTACATTATACTTAAAGGTCAAGTTTTGAGTACCTTCACATTCCTTGATGTATATACAAATTTGCTTAACCCAAATAACTAGTCCATTTACTTATCCATCCTAAATAGGATTGCATAGGAAACCCACTGGGGAACAGTGTCCAGGAAATGGCTGAGACAAACAACAGGAGGTATACTCATGGTGGGTGACAAACAGTAACAGTCCTCTAGATCCAACGAAGAAAACCAAACTTACCCATATCATCATCAAATATAGACTTAGCCTCCACTTTCTTTTTGGACTTTTCTTTTGGCTTTACAGTTAGGTCAGCAAAGATATCAATGTTATCATCAAATAAGTTGGATTCCAAAGTTCTCTCCTTTTCTCTTTTTTTTTGAGAGGGTTTAATTGCTTCTGTAGCAAATATATCATCCTTATCAAACCAAAAAATAAAAAACAAGCAAAAAAATTTTAAATCAACTTTCTTCTTTTCTTTTTCTTGCTTTTCCCCTCCCCCAACTAAAAACAAGTAGAAAGACAAACTGCCAGGTAATCAGGATCAGACCTTCCCCTCTTCCTGGAAAGCACTGCCCCAGATCTCTGCATGACAGGTTCTTTCTTTTCATTCTCCTCCTTGCAATCCAAATGCTAGCTCTGCAGTGAAGCCTTCTCTACCCATCCTACCTAAGGACAGCCTCCTATCCCTACCTACCAGTTCTGCCTCAGGTAAATTTCTTTACGGCATTTAGTGCTATTTGAAACTGTCTTAATTATCCATTGCCCTGATTGTATTAGGTTCCCCTTCCTAAGAGTTCTGGGGAGCAGAGCACTTGTTTGAGTTCACCTTCTGCCTGTGAGACTTAAATGCTCAATAAACATAATAATATTGAGAAATTACCATTGAATGCCTTAGTGCCTGCCCTTCTGTGAAACAAAAAGTTACAGCCAGGTCCTATTTCCCCAGCATCAGAGGTAAAACAACTAAAGCTGCACCGATGAACTTTTATCTGTGTCACAGAGTGGCACCCTAAAGAAAATGACAGCAGCGGCATTCTATAAAAATTAAAAGAAGCCAGGCACTGGTTGCTCACAGTTGATATCCTAGCTAATTGGAAAGATGAGTTCGAGGTCAGCCTAGGCAAATAGTTCAAGACCCCACCTTCAAAATAACCAGAGCAAAATGAACTGGAGGTGTGGCTCAAGCAATACAGCACCTGCTTTGCAAGCATGAAGCCCTGAGTTCAAACCCCAGCCCAGCAAAATAAACTAATAAATACATGAATAAATGAATGAATGAATAAAAATAAATAAATAAATGAACTGGGGGTATGGCTCAGAGGTACAGCACTTGCCTAGCACACATAAGGCTCTAGGTTCCATTGCCATGACCACAAAAAAAAAATCAAAAAAATTAAAAAATCAAGACCTGTATCAAGGATCACAGTCAGCCATGTTTCATAAGTGAAACAAAACAAGTAACAACCAACCAAAAAAAAAACCTTCTGAGTAAATTAGGAGATCCCAATTATGATTACTAAGCAAGTGGATATCAGGCATGCACAAAACAAGCTTAACATATAAATCTTATCACTCAGATGAATCAGCCATAGAATCAGGTATTTTCCATAGTATAGAACCAGCATGAAATATTTCCCTTACCTCAAAAATGTCTTGTGTTTTTGCTACAACATCCTGCTGACTGTTGGATTTTGACTCACTCTCCTTGCCTTTCTGATCTGTAAAGAGATCATCCTCATCGTCCAGGAGAGGAAAGGGACTGGTTTTCTTTACTGGTTTTGGTTTAACAGACTGAAAGAGATCATCATCACTACCAGCCTCACTGAGAGCAGAAAATAGAGGGCTCTTATCTTTACTTGCCCCTTGAGAGTAGGCTGGGGTATCTGATGACTTCCCCTTAGCTTTTGTTCTCTCCATGGACTGAGATCCTGTGTCCTTGGAAAAGATGTCTTCAGAATCAAACAGATCAGGTTCGCCTCTGGGCTGACACAGAGACTTCTCAAATGGGCTTCTGTCCATTGTAGGCACAGGACCACTTTCCCAAGGTGAAGCAGAAGCAGTCACGGCCTCCTCAGAGCTGACTTCTCCACTGGCTGCTCTGGGCTGCGGTTGAGGCTGAGGGTCATTTGGCGAAATGGCATGATCTGTAAACTGTGCAATGAGTCCTTTGGGAGCCCTAATGTCCTCCGCCTCGCTAGACTCCTGAGCAGCCAGTCGCCTGGCAGCACGGGTCTGTGGCCTGCGTTTCCCTCTCACTTTGACACGGTTCTACAATGGCAAAAAATACATGTTCATTTGGTGATAAAAGTAGGTGCTGAAAGAAACACAGCAAAGAATCATCAACCCAAGATACTGTAAGGTAATCTGGCCTACTTCAATCGAGATATCTAAGAGACAGAAGAAAGGATCTTTCTTAAAGATTTCCAAATAAGTTTACTGGCTACTAGTGCTCCAAGACTGTCATTCTTAATCCTTTTGTGTTCATTTTTTACTCTTTTGAGGACAGTGTCAGTTCAGTTTTACACAAAAAGCTTCACTATTGCTGGAGCCCCAGAAATTAGGCATGTTGGTGCTCTGTGACCCACAACCCTCTGTGGAACTTCCTGTACCCTTAATTGAAATGTGGGTGCCTTTCAAAGCATGAGCAAGTCAGGGGATCCTGGCACTGACCTTTATTAAGGGATTAGTCTACACTAGGCTTCAGGAACAGGGAGACATGAGACAATAAAGAGGGAATATATGCTATTTTCTTCAACAAACACTAAAATTCAAACATTAAACACTGCAAGTATAGCTTAGAGAGAACCCTGAATAGAACCTCAGAAAATGAGTCTCTTGATAGCTATGATTTAATATTTGTGGTTTTTTTTTTTTTTTTTTTAAATGTAAAATCAAGTTGAGTTTTGAGAAGGTAAAACCTCTTTTGGGCAAAGTACTTCACTGTGCCTGCCCACTTTTCAAATAATTTTAGGAAGTAGCCACTTTAAACTTAAAAAGTAAAAGCAAGAACAGGGAAAACAGGTCTAGAAAGACTTAAAATTAATGCATTTGCCAAGGTTAGATCATTCTAGGTTCTGTCACTTACTTAACAGTCTTTTGAGAGAAGGGAAATTAGATAGCAAAAAGAAAACCAATTTAAAAAATGGAAGGAAAACAGAGTTCAGAGCCTATGGACGAGATCCTGTGAAACAGTGTGACAACTTTCCTAGCTGAGAAGGAATTGCTATGGGATCTGGGAGAAGGGAGGCCAGGACATGGGCATAGGTAGGGAAAACCATAGAAGTGGGGAAGTTTGAGCAGAGCTGTAGGCAGGGCAGCGCATTCCTGGTGAAGCAGAAGCATGGCCAGTGGACAGCAGGACAGAGCATGTGTGTTCAGGCATTGGGGGTATGATGTGACTGGAATACAGGCTGCAAATGTGCGGTGATCAATAGGAAAGCTGGAACCAAGGCTTGACACCAACTGTAAAGGGGCTTTCATACCAAATCAGGAGCTAGAATATTCTACTCTGGACAGTGAAGAGCCCACAGATGGTAGACACCAACTTCAATGTGTCTATTATGCAAAACAGAACAGAACAGAAGCAGGCAGTGGAAAAGCAGGAGCAGAATTAGGGAAGTGGAGAAAAACAGGAGGGAGGAGGGGGCCAAAGGAAGGATGAGATGCTTCCTTCAAGTAGGGAGCTGAAACTGACCAGTGTATTTGTAATTAATACACAAGAACGCAAAAAGCAAAGATGGTTTCATCACCTTGTTTGCGCTGTGTAAGGTGTCTGCCTGAGCTGGAAGATCAAAACTCACACCAGCCTCCCCACTCTTAGAAAGGGCAGGCACGCTTTCCAGACTGTGGCTCCTTCCAGCTTCAGATGAAGGAAAACTGAATTCTGGTGAAATAGGCTTTGCTCCCGAAATCTGGGGAGCTGCTGTAGGCAGCAAGGCTGCTGGATTAATCGCTAAATTAGCCTAAAGAAAAAAAAACGAAAACTCAGTATTTGTTCATAAACAAAGCAGTCTATTATCCTTCCTGTGACACATAATGAGGTTCAGTGCACACAATGCAGAATACAAGAGAAGAGAAATATATTCTGATCCAGTCTCAGAATTAGAGCAGAAAGCAATACACCTGAGCCCACCACTAGGATCAAAGAAAGGATGCTAAAGACTCAGCACACAAGAAGCAACAACTAGGTGGGGGTGGAGGGTGTGGTGTGTGGGGGGGGGGCGGGGAACAAATGAAAAAATGCTTGGCAGTAGCTGAAAAAAGTGAAAATCCAAAAAAGATTCATAGATGCCACAAGGCAGGCAATGGAGATTCCAGACATGTTATAATTACTTGTATCTTCCCGATCCGAGTGGATGGCTCTTTGATTTTAAATGGAGCGAGACCTGATGAGTCCTGTGTGAAATTACATTCAGTTAAAAATCCATTGGGGAAATAGAATGCAAATTATCTGCTGTATTATACTCATCCCTTTAAATAAATGTGTGATGGAACAAAGCTGTGCCTTTCTGCAGGTCACTTAAATTTCTGTGGGGTCTTGCCACAGTTTGCTATGGTACTTCACTGATGTTTCTCCTCTGGCACAGAGGTGGAAGGCTGTCAGATCACACATGGAGTAAAGGCAGAAGATGAGTGAGAGTCCTAAAAGTTACAGTTTGTCAGAACAAGGCTGACAAAATCACCATGCTGGTTACCCAACACAGACAATATCAAACACCAGGGGCACACAGAGACTCTCCCACAAGTGCATCATTTTCTCACTTCAGGACACAGGGACCTTGGTGAGATGCCCAGCAAGAGCCAGAATTGTTCTGGCCCATTCTCTGGAGAAGCTCCACAGAGTTCTAAGAGGATGGCTGAAGAGGGAGAATTAAAAGTAGTTACCATGGAAGAAGTGACAATGAGAGACAACCAAGAAGTCAGACAGGATTAAAACTAACTCTAACTTAATGCTCCAGGGGAGACCAGAGGAAGAAATGGGAGCTCTACTGGAAGAAGAGTCTTTACCCTACCTTAACTTCATCTTGGAATTGAGTATGGAGCTGTAGTCAAAAGTAGGAATGATTAAGAATAGTGTGTAGAAAGAAGAGCAGGGAAAAGAGAATATAGTGAAAAGTGAGAGGCGCTACCTGCTGTTTCTTCCCTTGACAAAGAGAATTCTAGTTAACTCTGGGTCTTCTGTTGACCCAGATCTGTGTTGAGATGCAAACGAAAGCTGCAAATCCTGAAATAAACCAGTTCTAACCTGCGGTATTTCTGGCTTCCATGTGCTTTTTTCTTTGCTACCTTGAGTGGATTCAGGTTGTTTCTGGGTCTTCACAGAGGAAAGAGAGTGGTCTTTTTTCACTACTCTCTTTTTTTCTGACACCTTCAAAAAGGAAAAAAAAACTGTCATGTATCTTAGAAATTTTAAACAAAAATAATAATGCAAAAAGGAACCAGGCTTCTAGGTTTTAAAAGCCCCTTGTCAAATGAAGGTTGAATTAGCTTAGAGGCAGCATTTCAGAAATAACATTCTAGAAACAATGAGATCTAAATGGAGGGGGGGAGGGGTCACTCAGTGATAAGAGTGCAAAGGCCCTGGGTTTGATGATCGGCATTCCTACCACACCAGCTCCACAAAAGACTATGACTTACATAGGAGTCCTCTCTATGATGAAAGGTATATATAAAAAATGACAGGCTAAAACCCAAGAGTTAAAGGCATAAAAATACAGAGATCATATTGTATACAATGGTGCTTCAATAAGGCATTTAAAGACTGGTGGCATGGTTCGAGTGGTAGAGCGCTTGGCCCAAGCATGAGGAGGACCTGAGTTCAATCCTGAGTACCACCAAAAAAATAAATAAAAATAAACCACTTAAAAATCAAACAAGTTTGTGATATGATCAGAAAACATGGGTTAGTCAGTGAACACAAGAAGGAGAACAGTATTGAACTGTTCTCATATCAGCATGTTATGTGATGTTCATTTACTCATGAGCACCACAATTCCATATGAATTTTCCTTCTTCCTCTAAGTGGACATTATTTTCCTTTCCCATGCTCCCCAGTCCTGAGAACAAAAGTCTGATACCACAGGTTGGGTCTTGGCAGAGCTGAAAAGATCATCATCTTCATCATCGCCGAACAGGCTCCCAACACTTGGCTCTGACAACTAGAACAGACAACACTCAGATTGAATACCAAAAGTAAACAATTACAGAGGACTAGGTAAGCTGCGGACACAGTATCAAACACAGTAGCAAAGCCATAATGTGGAGAACCACTGGGAACTAACCCTTGTTTTCTTGGTGCCGGCAAAAAGGTCAACATCTGGGTCATTGTCCTTTTGGAGTTTGTGGCTAAAAAGCAGCTCTTCATCCTGGAAGACACCTGTGCTCTTGGGGAAGGCATCAGGACTAGGACCCTGGGGAAAGGCAGACGATTATATATGATTAGATTTCTAAGATTTATTGTACAAAAGTCACAACAGGGCAAAGACAGACACAACAAAAATGTCCCCTGTGCTTGGTTTATGCTGGCAAAAGGCTGGTCATGGCCTATGTGTCAATCAGCATTCAGGAAATAACACATTCACAAAACACAATACTGCAGAGCTACCAAAAACAGTGGAGAATGAATTCAGAAATGCAGAAAACATATATAATCTGGAAAGATCATCTTTCAACTTCTGTATAGTGTCTGGACTTTTAATTTAAAAAAAAAAATCCACTAGTTCCATAGTGAGAAATACTTCAGGAATAAAACCACATGAAATTGAGTAAGTTCTATCTCATTCTCAAAGGGAAGAAGAGACAGAAGCTAACTTAATCCTCAGAACCACAGAGCAGGTGATGTGTGCATCCCTAACCAGCCTGCATCTTAGTCCAAAGACCTGAACAGCTGTGTCCAGCAAGTCTTCCCTCACGCCCATTCACTTCTACCCCAGCACATTTATACTCCAAATGAGCTCTTCCTTTTGTTGCTAGGATACTGACATTAAAAAGTTGCTATTAACATTACTTGGTTTGATAATATAATGCTCCAGAAAACCTGACATTACAAACAAAAGATTAAAACAAATTTTAAAGCCCCACTTCTGATAAAATAAATCAAACTAACAATAAACTAGTGGTTATTTATACATAAGAGCCAGTTTAATAACAGAGGTGACCTAAACAATGTATACACGTGAGTAAATGTAAAAATGATTAAAAGAGAAAAAAAAGAGCCAGTTTAATACAGCAACTAAAGTTTCAAAACCATAGAAAAATAGTACAATACATGATACAAAACTAGAAGAAAACAGAGTAAATTATTCATATTCACTTTATGCATCTCTCATTTATAAGTAGGGTTATGGGCTGAGATGGAACTCAGTAGTACAGCACCTGTTTTACAAGCACAAGACCCAGGGTTTGATACCCAGCAATATCAAAAAAAGGTATAAATAAGGTTATACACTGCCAGCTTAAAAAAAAAATTCCTAGAACATTTTTTATAGAAATCAGCATGGACTATTTCTTCAGTTTGATAAAAAAGGATTGCTAATTCATGAGCTGAAAACTAATTGTTTTTTTTTAATCTGTTGAGATAAAATTCACAGATCATAAAACTCATTTAAAGCATGTAACTCAATGACTTTTAAAATATTCATGTTGACAAATATTACCATAATCTAAGAATCGAGAACACTCTCAGCACCCAAAACGAAACCCTGAATTATCAGTTACCACTTTCCTTTTCTGTACACCCTCTCCACTCAGACCCAAGTAAACACTAATGTACTTTCTCTTTATGGGGTCCCGTGTGGTAATCTGATACATGCACAGATGAGTAGCATTTCTGTATTCTTAAGCATTTACCATTCCTTGAGTAGGAAATCTCTCAACTCCTTTCTTGAAGTTCATTAGATGGAATGTATAGTTGATGTGAACTGTAATCACCCTATATTTAGAGCATGAAAAGTCACTCTTCCTGCTTACTTCATTCTTTTCATTACCAAATAACACGGAAGCTTTCTCTTAGCTGTACGGGACACATTCCAAGACCCCTGGTGGACGCCTAAAACCTCAGACTGTTCTAAACCCTGTAATTTAATGCCTTTCCATTTTAAATAAGCACTTATCACCCATTGTGGCCATAATTTTTGCAGTTTGACAACGAAACTAATGTGATTTTTCTCTCTCCTTCACAATATGACAGATTTGTTCTTACCATAGATCTCAGAAACCTCTGCATGTAATGTTTTTCCTTAAGTCTAGAACTTTCACCTTTCCCTTCAAGGAAGTATTTTACTGCTCCCTTTGGCATATCCAAATTGCCAGCATCACTATGCTTGTGCTTTGGGGCCATTATTATTAAGTAATATTAAGCATCCCTTATGTAGCATAAGCACTGCAATGACACAAGATGATGAGAATTGCTCTGATAACCAAAATGACTACAAAGTGATAACAGGCAGGTAGTCTACACCGTGTGGACTGGACAAAGGGAGCACAACATAAAAATTAGGAGTTTCTGGGATTTCTCATGTAGTAGTTACAGAATGCAGTTACTCAGACTGTGAGAAACAGAGTGTGGAAAGAAGAAACCACAGGTAAGAAGGGACTACTGCACTCCATTGTGCAGACAGCCTATGCTGTGCATGTCCACTCATCAGTGGTTGGACATCTGAGTTGTTTCCATCTTTTGGCTGTTATGGATAATGCTGCCGGGAACATTTACATTCACATCTTTGTGTGAACATGTTCCTGTTTCTTTTGAACATATACCTAGTAATGGAATTGCTGGTCACATAGTAACAGCACATTTTAACAATCTGATGAACGAACACATTGTTTTCCAATTGTTGAGCCCCTTCACATTTCTTGAACCAAGGAATGCCAATCTCAGTTTCTCCACACCCCTTGCCACACTTCCTAAATTATAACCTTCCTGCCGGGATCTTACACTTTCCATCTGCACTACCCTAGTGACTGATAATGCTGATATTTTTCTTCGTGTGTTTTGCTGTTTATTTTCTTTATAGAAACGTCTATTCACATCTTTTATCTTTTTTTGTTTTGTTTCTGGCAGTACTGAGGTTTTTGAACTCAGAGCCTCATGCCTGCTAGGCAAGCTCCCAGCAGCCCTTTCTTCTTCAGTTACTTTTCAGGTAAGAACAGATAAGGTCTTGCTGTCTGGTGGGGGTGGGGATGGGGGTGGCAATGGCCTCAACCTGCAATCTCCTACCACTACCTTCCTGGTATCAGGGATTACAAATGTGAGCCACTGTGCCACAGACCTAGTCCATCTTTCATTTGGGTTATTTGTCTTTTTATTATGAAGTTGTAATTCTTTTACTTGTTCTAGATATAAATCCCTTATAAAATATATAATTTGAAAATTCTTTCCCATTTTATGGGTCACCGTTTCACTATCTTGTGAGTATGGTACTAGGAATTGAACTCAGGTCCTCTACTACTTGAGTCAAGCTCTTGCTTTTAGATTCTCAGATAGGCTCTCATGCTAACTTTGTCTGGGCTCACCTCAGACCCTGATCCTCCTACCTGTACTTCCTGGGTAGCTGGAATTACAGGCTTTGACCACCATACCCAGTTTGTTTTTGAGACAGCATCTGATTTTTGCCAAGCTAGCCTCAAACTGCAACCCTCTTGTCTCTATCTCCTAAATACCAGTATTACTGATGGTGCTCTTTGAAGCACAGTATTTTAAAATGGAGTTCAATTTGGCTATTTATTCATCACATGTATTTTTTTGGTTTTGAATCTCAGAAGGTTTTGCCTAATCCAAGGTCACAATTATTTATTTGTATAGTCCTTTCTTGGAAATGTAAACACTTTCAGTTCCTACAGTTGTATCTATGATCCATTCTGAGTTCATTTTTGTGTGTGGAGTAAAATAGCTTCATTCTTTTTCACAGGCATAATCAGTATCCCAGCACTATCTGATAGGAAGAATATTCTTCCTTCACTGAATTATCTTGGCACCCTTATCATAACCAACTGACAATAAAAGTGAGGGTTTATTTCTGGGTTCTCTATTCTATTCCACTGGTCTATATATTTTAACCTTATGCAAGTACTACACTGTGAAGAAATAAGTTTTGGAATCAGGAAGAGTAAGTCCTATAACTTTATTTGTTATTTTTCAAGACTGTAGACTATTCTGGATCCTTTGCACCTCCATAAAAATTTTAGCATCGGGACCAGGGGGTGTAGCTCAAGTGGTAGATAACCTGCCTAGCAATCTGCAAGGCTCTGAGTTCCAAACCTAGTACCAACAAAGAAAAAGAAAAAAGGATTGGCTTAGCCATTTCTGCAAAAAACAAACTGGAATTTTGATAGAGATGAGATTCAATCTGTGAAACCAATTTGGGGGAATAATGCCACCTTAATATTAAGGCTTCAATTCCATCTATTACAGATCTTTAATTTCTTTCAACAATGTATTATAGTTTCTAGTATACAAGTCTTGAACTTCTTTTGGTAAATTTATTCCTAATTATTTTATCCTTTTTGTTCTTAATTTCATTTTCACACTGTTTACTAGCATATAAAAGTATAATCTACTCTCATACATTGATCTTATATTCTGTTATATTGCTGAATTTGTTTAATTATTTTGGATAGATACTCTGTAGGTTCTTTAGGACTTTCTATATATAGGTCATACCATCTAGCAATGACAGAGATAGTTTTGTTTCTTCTTTTCTAACCTGGACACCTTTTATTTCATTTTACTGCCTAACTGTCCTATCTAGAACCTCTAGGATAAGACTGACTAGAATCTGTGAGAGTGGATATCCTTGTTTTACTCATGATCTGAAGGGGAAAGCTTTTAGTCTGCTAACATTAAGTATTATGTCAGCTGGGGCTTTTCGTATTTATCGTCATAAAATGGAAGAAGGTTTCCTTCCACGCTTAATTTACTGAGTGTTTTTATCATGAAAGGGTTTGAGTTTCATCAAGTGTTTTTCCTGCATCTACTGAAATGACCCTGTACTTTTTAGCTTTATTTTATTGAAATAGTACATTATATCAACTGATTTTCAAATGTTCAACCAGCTTTATATTCCTGGGAGAAATCCCACCCCCCCTTCTGTGAAATCCTCTTTATATTTTCCTAGATTAGGTTTAGCAGTATTTTGTTGATGATTTTACCATCTACAGTCAGAAAAGATAGTGGTTTGTAGTTTTCTTGTCTCTATCTATTTTTAGCATATCTAGTTTTAGCATCAGGATAATAGTAGCCTCAGAGAATGTCACTTATTTTTATTTATAAAATTTAGTGGCCATAATCATGCCCACTGATTTTCATATTCTTTAGAGCTGCTTTCACGCTACTGACAGCAGAGCTGTGCAGTTAAAACTCCTGTGTCTTGCCAATGCCAAAACAGTTATTATACAGCCCTTAGGTTTGCTGACAACTGATAAACATAAAGATTCATCTACAACATCGATTTTTAAAACTGAATTTTGCAAGTTCTTAAGTATGCAATTCTGGCCCGTCTCCCCTTTCCTACTGCCCACATCTTGTAAATAGCTTGGGGGGGGGGGCAACAAAGTCTATAATACCCTGCAGAGGCAGGTGAAATTCTAATTCCCTATCCAACAATGGGAAAGGTCACTAACTTGGATTCCTAAACATTGAAATGACTAGAGAGAATCATTTACCCTCTGTACTGAAGGTTAAGATTTCTTCAGTAACTCACAGGACAGAAACCGCTCACCTTTTCTATTTCTTTCTGTGGAGCACAGATGTTGTTTTGATCTTCCGTTTTATCCTCTTCCTCATCAAACAAGCTAAGAACAGTTTTGGTTCTACTCTTGGTTCCTTTCTCCAAAGGGGATATTGAAGAAAATAAATCAGAATGCTTGACTGCTTCCTGGGCAGATGTGGGCAATATTCCTCCCTGAAAATAATAATGAGAAAAATAAGTACTAAGTAGAAATAAAAATTCTGTCATGGGGCCTCTCAAGTTCCTCATTAATCCACATTTGCATGATTGAGGGCACTATACCTAGTCACATTTACATCTATGTGACAAAACACTTACGTCAATTCTTTTTTCTTTTTTTTAATGGTACTGGGGATTGAACACAAGGGCTTGCACATGCTAGGCAAGAGCTCTAGCTCTTGAGCCACACCTGACCCCTAACGTCAATTTTTCACTGGCTGCTCAAATGAAGAGTTTTGTACACATAGTCCATAGCCAAAGATAATTCTTCCAATTATTTTAAAACCGTAGGCCCTCTCCCTCCTACCAAGTGATATGGTAATTATAACCTTAATGAACAAACTCAAGAGCTAGAAAGAACTTCTAAGTCACAGAGACAAGTGTCAATTATTAGAAGATCATGTATTTCCTATTAATTAATACGTTGTATATGTCTCTGGATAAACTTAGTTAGCAAAATCAAGACACTCAAATTATGGGTTTACATTATATACACAATTAGAACAATTCCTAAAATAATCTTAAATGCAACATTTATTCATTCAACAGTTATCACAATTTGGGTAAAATACCACTGACAGAAAGAATCACTCTTATTGTATGCTCAACCAAGAAAGAAAAATGACTCCTAATTAAACATGCCATTGAGGGCTGGGAGGGTAGTTCAAATGGTAGAGTGCTTGCCTAGTGAGCATGAAGCTCTGAGTTTTAAACTGCAGCACCACCAAAGAAAAAAAAAGAAGAAATCATACCATTAATTGTGAGGTGATCCTAATTTCAGAATGGCTGAACTGTGGGAAAACATGCTTACTTGAAGAAATACATAATGTACAAAGTAGGGCCTACTATATGCACGGCTATTTGCAAAGTGCTATGGATATAACCATACACAAGGACTAGAATGAGGCAACACAGGACCACATGCAGCCACTTGGAAGAGAAGGTCACAGAGTGACACAGGTACAAAAAAAATCTGTTACACTGTAGCTGCATGGAGGTTTCATGTGAAAAGAAAATTCAATGTCCTTCACATACACCCTGGGGGGAGAGATTAAACCAGAGCACATGGACACACGGGGTATAAGGAGAGTTTAAAAAGAAAAGGTACAAAGACCAAAAGCAACCAATGATACTGGATCCCCAAACATAACCAGCAGCATTAGCTATAGGTTTCTAGCAAGAGATGGTGAACCTTCAGGAAAAGAAAGCTAGCATTTTCAAAGAAATACACATTTCACTCTACTCTGTAGTTCACAGACAACATAAACCATACTTAAAAGAATGGTAAACTAAAGTCTTCTTAAAACTGACATCTTAACTCAAGTATAGGAAGGGATGAGCAAAGAATCATGGGAAACAGAAATGTCATAGAGAAAAAGCAAATACATAGAAAAACAAAATGAAAAGTAAGATGTGGAAAAGCAACCTGGAATGAGAGGCAAAATGTAACTGACAAAACACTGACAATAATAAAGTAAAACAAGACACTTATAGTCTACTGTGTGCACATGTACCTACAAAAAGAACCAGAAAGTGGGCATGGGGAAGGTTTCCCTGAAGAGCAGAAGCATGGGCTCTCTTCTCTACAGTTTTAAAATCTTTCTGCAAATAACCCATGAATTTTCAGTGGTGGAAAAAAATATAAGGAAGGGTATGTGTATGTGTGTGTGTTACAACAAAGGAGACCCAAACACAGTAAGAAATGGAAGAAGCCCACCTTCTCTGCTTCCTCAGCCAGCTCAGCCCTTCCCAACTCTGAGGACACTTTGGCACTCTCAACCTTTGTATCCACAGGTTGCACTCCAAATTGTGCCTCTTTGTCTTCTTCATCACTGAATAGCAAAGGTGGTACCTCAGGAACAGTCTCTTTTTTCTACCAAGAAAAGAGAAAATGACATCTACAACAATAAAAAAAAAAAAGCGTCCAACTATAATGTATAGACAGTCCCCTTCAGCATGAGCCAAGGATCACTGTATCACTCTGTGTCTGCACCTCATCATTCTTCACCATTCCTTAAACTCACTGCAAACTCGCACCCCTCAATATTGTGCTCCTCTCTGCAGCAAGACCCAGCTCAGATGTCACCCATGACTGTTTTCCTGTTTTCTTAAATATTAGTTTCTTTGCTGAATAAACATATTGCTTCTCTTTCCACCCAGCCTCTGCTAACTTACCTACCTGGGTCTAACTTCTCTCCTGGGTGTTGCTGAGATTAACTGCTAGCACTCATCTACCTGCCCATTCATCTAAAAGGACCATATATTTTATGTCTGTGGCCAGTCATGTCATTTCACACTATGGTCTTGCAAGTCCTTTGGTTCATTTCTCATCTCTTTCTTCTCTGAGAGGCAGGAAGCTTGCATATTAGTTAACTGAGGTTGTTGCTGGACGCACCTAGAATTATCAGCATCCTTGGGTCAAGTGACTTATCAACAGGTTCTTGAGGGAAAAACCAAACTCTATTATGCTAACTAGATGCCATGAGGAATTGGGCATTGAAACAATGCCTAAATCAAGTAAGGAAGGCAGATTTGGGAAACTCAAAGAAGGACAATACTAACTTTAACAGAATACGTTCCAAATGAAGCAATAATGGGGACTGGGAGTGTAGCTCAAGTGGTAAGCATTTGCTAAGCAAGTGCCAAGGCCCTGAGTTTAATCTCCAGCACTTCCCAAAAAAAAAAAAGCGCGGGGGGCAGGGGAGAATGAATGAAAAAATAATGGGTTATGTTGTTTTTAGTTACTGCAAGGAAGAGATCCTTAAGATGCAAAATGATTCATACTTGAAATAAAGAAGAATGGAAACTCACAAAGAACTTCAGAAGAGATAAAGCAATAATGAAGTGATTAAAGAAAAAAATTTTGTAGAACATGCAGGACTGTCTGATTTGAATATGAAATGTCCCCAACAGGCTCATGTGTTGAAAGCTTGGTCCTCAGCAGGTGGCAATATTTTGGGACGTGAGGAGACTTGAGGAGGTGGGGCCCTAGTTGGAGGGAGTAGGTCGCTGGGGTTGTGTCCTTGAGGGCTAGATCTTGCCCAGGCCCCTTCCTGTTATTCTGTTTCCTGTGCACCATGAGGTGATTAGCCTTTGTCACCTGCTCTCACTGCCATTATGCCCTCTCTCTCACAGACTCAGAATCAACAAAACCAAGGACTACTGACTGAAACCTTTGAAACCATGACATAAATTAAATTCTTCTTCCCTTAAGGGGTTTATGTCAGGTCACAGCAATGACAAGGTCAGTTTGCAGAGCTGACTCAGGGCAGCATCACTACTCCTTGTAGCACAACTTTGAGGTTATTTCCTAGGTCTAAGAGATTACAAATACCGTTGCTACAGGAGGAACAGAGGCAGGAGGAGAGCCAAACAGAGAGCTTCCACTATCAGCATCATCTTCAAAGAGGAGTGACACTCTCTGGGTCTTCTTTTGACTATATGAACAAACAAAAGGTCAAATTCAGAGAAAATGTGATTCAAAAACAAAAACAATATTCTTTCTAGGCCACACCTATAGCAAGCCATCTACCATTATCTGTTGACCTTATACAGTTGACAGCAGACAGGAAAAACCTTTGGATGGTAGAATTTGTCTCTGAGCAGTCAGCAGCCTCTGTCACTCACCCTCATGTAGAGGAGCCCAAGGCCCTCCTCATCTTGCCAGTCAAGTCAGTCACTTTCTACCCAGTGCAGTTGCTCTGGCTGTTAGCTCTGCAGAGCACCCCAATCTTTAGCTATTCACAAACACAGCACTCTCCCTCTCCACCTCTTATAGCAGAAGAAGAAGTAGGGAGTGGATATGCCTACTTCCAGTGTGGGCAGGAAGGCAGCTGCTAAGAGAAATTGCAAAGTCAAGGCCAGGACCAGGGCCAGCTTTGGAATATGATTGTCAGGTCTGCTTTCTACTTCCTTTTTTTCATAGTAGCTTTATTGGGACATAATTTACAAACTATAAAATTAACCCTTTTCAAGCATACACTTCAGTGATCCTTATCATATTCGGAGTTATGCACTATCATCAGAATCTAAGTTCACATTTATATAACCCCAAAAAGAAACTTCATGCCAATCAGCAGTCACTCCTTATTCCCTTCTTCTCTCAACCACTGGCAACCACCAATCTACTTTCTGCCTCTATGAATTTATCTCTCCTGGACATTTCATGAAAGTAGAATCCTGGAATTTGTGGTCTTGTGTGACTGACTTCTTTCAATAAAATGTATTTTCCAGGTTCATTCATGTCCCAGTATGTCCTTTATTCCATTCTATTGCTGACTAAAAGTCCATTATGCAGTTATACATTTTATCCATTCATCAGTTGGTGGACATTTGTGTTGTTTCTACTTTTTGACTATTGTGAATAAGGCTACAATGAATATTCCTGTGTAAATTTTTATATGAGGTTATGTTTTCATTTCTGTTAGATACACACCTTAGAGTGGAATTAACTGGGCCATATGGCAACTCCAGCTTAATGTTCTGAGGAAATGCCACACCATTTCACTCTTTCACACCCTCACCTGCACTTATCATCTGCACAAAGCTTCTCTGAAATCTGATGAAAGCAACGAATTATATCCCAAATTTCACAGACAACTTCAAGGACAAATGGAGGCGGCTCTAATCTAATCAGCTCAACAACTTTATGAGAGCTAAGGAAACTGAGACACAGGGAATTCAGATAACTTGTCCAATATTGTTCAGACAGAATGGGCAGGGCCAGAAAACTTAACATCAGCTACTAGAATTTCAGAGCTTATATATGAACCAGAAGGCAAAGATACACCAGGTGTCAAGTCACAGGAACCTAAAACAGAAAACGGCGAGGTCCGAAGAGGTGACAATATTTGCAGTTTCAAATCTGAGGTAACTCTGAATCTATCTAATGAAGGTGAACCACACTGATGCTTTATTATTTACAGAGCTGTTGTTCTGAATCCACAGCTAAATTGCAGTATTTGCAAAGCACAGCCCACACTTGTTCTCTGTACCCTGCCTGCTTCAGAGCAGGGCTTCATGTGGAGAATCACCTAGGTCAGTAAGGTTATCAGTACTTGGGGGATTCTACAGCTTTACACAGAACTGTCCTCCTAAGAGCATGTTTTTCAATGCTGAGCAGATTTTTATCAAAATATTTGTATTTATTTATTTATTTTTATATTGATATTTATTTATATTTTTATATTTTATATATTTTTATTATTTAATTTATTTTTTCTTTTCATTTATTTTTATTTTTTTATTTATTATTTTATTTTTTATTTTGCATTTTTATTTTTTTAATTTTATTTTTTTATTATTTTTTTAAATGTTTTTATTGTTTTTTCTTTTATTTTTTATTTTTTAATTTTATTTTTTTTAACTTTTTTTATTGATTGATTGATTGACAGGGTCTTGCTACACAGTCCAGGTGGCATGGAACTCTCAGTCCTCCTGTTTAAGCCTTCCAAGTGATGGGATTATAGATGTGCACCACTGTGCTGGGCAAAAATTACAAACTTCTTTTGTTTTTCCCCCACTTTGATGGTACTGAGGTTTGAACTCAGTGCTTTGCGCTTGCAAAGCAGGCACTCTACCTTTTAAAGCCACACCTTAGTCCTAAAATCATAAGCTTCTAAGTAACCTTGACTAAATTTTACAATCTTTAGGGTATCCCAGATAAAAAACAAGCACAAAAGACAACAAACTGGACATTTTAAACCACAGACAAACTAAGAAAAAGATTATTCCAAGACTGAAAAAATAGAGAGAACTCAAGTGCAGATGTAAGAAGACAAACATTTCCCAGTACTGGGGAAGAAGACCTTGCAAACAAAAAGTAACACCAGCCCCATCTGTGTCTGAATGACCCCTAGGCATCAATCATTAGTACTGGCTAATGTGCACACTGAAAACCTATTCTTGTTACTGCACAGAGTAAATTAATTCCTACAATGACTGTCTCACCTGTCCTTGGCAATGGCAAACAGATCATCTTCATCATCATCTTCTTCAAAGAGACTGGTCTTTTTCACAGCCTTCACTTCCTGGCCCTGGATGGTCCCCAAATTACCTTTGGACCTGCTGTTGTACGTTGACTTGGTCTGTGAATCAGTGATATTCCACTGGTCCTTAAAACATGAAACATACATTAAAAATCCAGAGTGGTGTGGGTATAACTTAGTGGTAAAGTGCTTGCCTAGCATGCTGAACAATTTAGATTATGAAACGTGAAGAGTAAAAATGAAATTTATATTTATTAAATTAAGTTACACTTAAACTAAGGATCAAACTTAGTATAGAAGAAGGGTCATGCCTAAGAGGTTTTGTTTGAAATCAAATCTGGAAAGCTTTGGTTCCTCCTCCACCTACCACAGTGTTTCTCCATCCTATGGTCCAGTCCTGTGTTAGGATGACAGAACTTGTCTATTTTAGGAGACCAAAATTAATTATAAAGGGGATGAGTAGAAACAGGATTATAAAAAAAATCAAGAACTCTCAAGTTTGAAGGATGTTTTAGTTTAAAAATCCCAAAGCAGGACTGGAAGAGTGGCTCAAGTAGTAGAGCACCTGCTTTATAAGCACAAAGCCCTGAGTTCAAACTCCAGTCCCAGTCCCACCAAAAAATAAAATAAAATTTTTAAAAATCCCAAAGCAAACTGCAAAAAAAGAGTATAGAGTTCATGTAGCACAAATGTAAAGTTGTTACAATGGGAATTGCTGGGGATCCTTTTTACCACAAAGGATCTGGCCTGAGGGGCAGGCACAATGGGTCACACCTGCAATCCCAGCTACTGGACGAGGCAGAAATCAGGAGGATCATGGTGCAAAACCAGCCTGATGGGGAACAAAAATTTGCAAGACTCCATCTCAACCAATAAGCTGGGCGTGGTGACACAGGCTCACAATTCCATCTACATGGGAAGTATGACTAGGACAGTAGTCTGGGCCAGTCCAGGCAAATATGCAAAACCCTACTCCAAAAATAACTGAAGCAAAAAGAGTTGGGAGTGGTTCAAGTGGTAAAGCACCTGCCTAGCAAGTCTGAGGACCTGAGATCAAATCCCAGTATCACCCAGTATATAATCTGGCTTGTAGGAAGCTTTTAAGGAAACCCCATCAGGTGATTTTGAGGTCTGTAGGCCAAGAACAGTGAAGCATGGGCACAGGTGGCCCTTTCATTACACACATGCCACAGCCTCTCAGGCCCCACCCCCCACACACTGAAGTCAGAAGCTGCATTTCCAGGTAACTCCTTCATACATGAAGAGTTGAGGCTTGCTCCTGCAGGCAGCCATGCTGAGCACTGACTGCAGAGTTTACAGAATTCCAGTGAGGAGGCCATTCCTCAAAGCAAGGAGTGGAGGAACTCCAGCAGAGTTCCCTACATGATCCTAAGTGGTAGCCAAGGTCACTGTTCTTGACCCTTGGTCATCTTTACTCTGAATTTCGTTTTGCTCCCAGATTTAGCTAGTATTTTTACTTTCCTGGCTCTGGTAAACCAGGTGTCAGTGGCTCACACCTGTATTTCCAGCAACTCAGGAGGCAGAGATCAGGAGGATCACTGTTCAAAGCCAGCCGAGGCAAATAGTTCACAACACCCTACCTTGAGAAAACCCATCACAAAAAAAAGACTGGTGGAAGGGCTCAAGGTGTAGGCCCTTCCTGAGTTCAAGCTCCAGTACCGCAAAAATAAATAAATAAATAACATTTTTAAAATTTTTAAATGCTCTGGTAAGAACAATTCCACTGATGTTAGGCTGTCACTATAGGCATAAAAACTTAAAATGATAAAAAGAAAAGAATGAACAATTCATCATCATTGTGTCTGTTTGAGCAGAAAGCACAAATTATGTTAAGTCGCTTTTTGGTGTGTTTGCCTTTGGTAGTACTGGGGATTGAACTCTGAGCCTCACACTTGTTAGGCGAAGTGCTCCACTACTTTAGTCACACCCCAGTCCCTTTTACTTTTAGTCTGTTTGTTAGATAGGGTCTCCTGCTTTTGCTCAGGCCAGCCTCAGACCATAATTCTGCTGCCTCTACCTCCTGAATAGCTAGGATTACAGCTGGGCATTCTTATGCCTCGCTTGTGTGGTGGAGTTATGCTAACTTAGCCTTGAATCACAACTCTCCTACTTCCACCATCCAAACAGCTGGGGTTACAGGCATGAACCACCAAGACTGGAGCATGCTGAGCCAATTCAAACTGTTTCAATAAAGATACGACCTCAGCTACAATTTATTTTATCTACCTCATACCCTTGCAACCTATCTGTAGTGATAAAATAAAGAGTAACTATCACTGTACAGAAAAACTGTTTTAAAAGATTACTTATTTTGGTTATCATTCGCTGGTAAATGGATGGAATTGGAGAACATCATTCTGAGTGAGGTTAGCCTGGCCCAAAAGACCAAAAATCGTATGTTCTCCCTCA